CAGCACCGGATTGGGACTACTGAGACATCCAGCCTTGTGGACTGAGCGACTACAGATTCTCAGCCTCTCCAGTGTGGTGCAGCCATTGTTGGACTACTTGGACTCTATCCTGTGAGCTAAGCTGATAAATCTTTATACATATTCATTCTACTGGTTCTGTTTCTTTGGAGAACCCTGACTAATACACCCTGGCTCCTTTCTTTTACCAGTTCCGCCTATGTGAAGATAAGTCAAAGGTCCTTCTCAACCATGGTTGGCTTCATTTGGAAGCATGGAGGAAATAATTCATGTGTTGACCCTCCTCTTTATAGACTGGACACTGGTTCAAGTCCATCTGGTGGGGTCTCCTTGGCCTTCTTGGTCAAGAGGACAGGTGACCCACCACCATTATAGGACATTTTGAGAGATGCTTATAGTCCCCTGGAACTAGTCGACCTAGGAGGGCTAGGAGCAAACAGTGTCCTTTATGTCCCTCTGAGTATGTCTGTTAAACAGCCAAGAAGGTTAGTTCCACCAGTCTGGTATTATTAATTTCTGTGCGTCATTTTAAAAAAGGAACAAAGAAACATTGAGTCAGCCATTTAGGAATAACCACCTAGGGACCAAGCCAGTTTTGTGTTTTTGTTTTTAGATGTGTTATTGCATAAAATAATGAATTTTATTATGACATTTCATATATATGTATATATACTTTGCTCATGTACACACACATGAAATTACTCTTGTCCCACCGCTGCACTCTACTGGTCTCTCTTCCCTTTCAACAGAGTCCCCTTATACTTTCAGTTCATATCTTTTATTAGGATGTAGATTCCACCTATGAGAGAAAACATGCATATTGTCTTTTTTAGTCTGGCTTATTTCACTTAACATGATTATCTCCAATTCTATCCATCTTATTTCAAATAACATTACTTTGCTTTTCTTTATGGCTAACTAAATTCCACTGTGACCAGGTTTAGTGGTGTACTTCGGAGATAGAGGCAGATGAATCTCTGTGAGTTCAAATCCAGCCTGTTCTACATAGTTCCAGGCTACTAGCCAGGGCTGCATAATGAGACCCTGTCACACACACATACACACTCCATTGTGTATATACCTTTATCCATCTGTTGATTACTATAGCTTGGCTGTTATTAGTGAATAATGTCACAATAAGTGTGGATGTACCATTATCTCTGTAGTATGTAGGATTTTGACTTAGGTTACCTTAGCTATATACCCAGGAGTGCTATATAGCTCTTATGGGAGTTCTATTTTTTTTAGACAAGGTCTTCCTATAGCACCAGCTGGCCTGGAACTCACTATGTATACCAGGCTGGCCTTGAACTCACAGAGATCCACCTGCCTCTGCCTCCTGAGTGCTGGGATTAAAGGCATGGGCCACCAAGCCCTGCCTATTTTTAGCTTTTTAAGAAACCTCCAAGTGGGGTGCGGTGGTGCATGCTTTAGTCCCAGCACTCCAGAAGCATAGGCAGGCAGATCTCTGTAAATTCAAGGCCATCCTGGTCTACATAGGGAGTTCCAGGCCAGCTGTGGCTACAAGGAGACTCTGTCTCAAAAAGATGACAAAAAAAATCTCCGTACAGAGACTGGAGAGGTGGCTTAGCAGTTAAGAGCACTGATTGCTCTTGCAGAGGACCCAGGTTTGATTCCCAGCACCCACATGGTACCTACGAACTGTCCTTAACTCCAGTTCCAAGGGAATCCAAAGCCCTCTTCTGACCTCTGCAGCACTGCATAACACAGGTTCACTCACATACATGCAGGCAATACACTCATACACATAAAATAAAAAAAAATATTAAAAAAATACCTCCCTATGACCTCCATAGTAACAACACTAATTTATATTCCCACCAACAGTGTATTAGGGCTCCTTCCCTACCTGCCTATCCTCAGCCAGCATTAGTTGTTGTTTTTTTCAACTTACTATTTTGGAATACATGTTCATGTGTACATGTGTGATCACATGTGCCACAGCACATATATAGAGGTCAGAGGACAACTTAAAGGGATCTTTCCTTCTAATATATGGTACCGAGGATGGGCTTGTCAGCCAGCACGTTTACCCACTGAATCTTGTATTCTGTTCCATTGGTCTAAGTGTCAGTACATGCTTGTTTTGTTATGGGTTCTATAGTATAATTTGAAATCAGGCATTGACACCTCTAGCATTGCTCCAGGTGTTCAGGATTACTTTGACTACTTGGAATGTACTTTATACTTCCACATTAATTTTAGGGTTCTTTTTCTATTTGGTAAAGAATGGCATTGGAATTGTATTGAGTCTATAAATAGCTTTTGGTGACATAGATATTTTCATGATATTAATTCTACTGATCCATGAACATGGGAGGCCTTTCCATCTTTTGGTTTTTTCAATTCCTTTCTTTAGTGTTTTAAAGTTTTCATTGTAGAAATATTTTATTTTTTATGTGTGTGTATGTTTGTATGCAAGGCACACTTGTGAAGGTCAGAGGACAACCCCTGGTGTCAGTCCCTCGGTTTCACCTTCTCCAAAGCCGGGTCTCTTTGTTGTCTGCTGCTGTATGTGCCAGGATAGCTGGGCCTAGCTTCTGAGGGTTCTTTTGTCTCCACCTTCCATCTTGCCATAGGAGCCCTATGACAGTAGACAGGAGTACTCAGTTCTGGAATTCAAACCAAGTCCCCACCCTTGAATGACAGTACTTCACCCACTGA